TGCCGTCTAAATAGTTTTTGGTTATTTTAATAAGATTATTTTTATTATAGCCGTTTTCAAAAAATGTATTTATGAGGAAATCAATTTCTTGTGAGAGATATTTTTGAGAGCAGATTTGTTTTGCTCGACATAAAAAACCTTTAAAGACGCCAATGGTTATGCTCGGGTTGATGTTGGAGTTTGGTTTTATTTGAACATTCGTTATCGCATCCTTACGGTGTATTTGAAACTCATAAAATCCATTCATTGTATTTGTAATACAAATATCTAAAAAATTAAGTTGTTTTCTTTTGTTTTCAAGTTCCACGGTATATTTTATGGAGGGGTTTTGTTCATTTAAAGCTTTAAGAAATAGTTCTTGCTTTTCTTTTGAATCGAAGCGAGCATGGCTATCATCCACATATCTTTGATAAGTTATTGGTTGGAATGAATTAACAAAGGCAATATCAAGTGCTCTTTTTTCTATACTTTGCAAAAATGCTTCAGCTATGACTACCATCAATGATAAAACAATTGGACCTGAATTAGGTAAAATTCGGATTTTATCTTCGTATAAAAAGTAACATATGCTTAACGATAGTTCAATTAATTGGTGTATATCTATGAGAGTTAATTTAGTCCTAGTTTTTAAATCTTCGAGATCATCGTTCAATATGTTAATAATAACAGGAATTGCTTCATTGATCGGTACGGATGGATATAAATTAATTACATCGAAAGAAACTTGAATTTCATTAGGGTCTATCTTCCATTCTTTAGCATCGTTGACAAAGTTTCTTGAATTAATTAGTCGAGTTATGTTTTTGTTTAATGTTGGTTGGATAATTTTAACCAGATACTCAGATGTTCCATAAGGAGGTGTGTTAATAGTGGAAACAACAGGACGCATTGGGTAGTTTTTTTCCGGTTTGTGTGCTTTAACCATTCCATAGATTCTAGGTGGAACGCAATCTGATGGATACATTTTAAAATAAGTAGCATTGTCTAACTTACCTTGTTTTCTTAATTTACATAATAGTTTCTGAAATTTAGTAGTGAATGTGGGTGTTGGATCGTAATCAATAATTTTACTATTTTTTATTTGTTCTTCTAATTTCGCTTTTGCTTCATTTTTGCATAATAAAGCAAAACCTGTTCCTTTGTCAAACGGATATATCTTTAGATGTGAATGTTTTTTCAGGTTTTGTAAAGAAAGGCGTTGTTGTTTTGTTAAATTATCTAATAAAATAATAAAAAAGTCCACTACGTACCAAAAAAGCTGAAAATATAATGAA